CTGAAAACCTGCCAAAACCAGGTGACCCTCATGAAGTGAGCCGCGAGAAACTGCTGATGGTCAAAATCGACAAGATCGCAAAGCTAGCCGTAAAACTGGCAAAGGAATCCAAGAAGCTGGTAAAGCTAGCTGACAAGCTGACTAAAGCCGATAAATCCCACAAAAAGTCAAGAGAAGGTGGCCAAGACAGCAGAGAAGCTGCCTGAGAAAGAAAGGGTGGCCAAGACAGCAGAGAAGCTGCCTGAGAAAGAAAGGGTGGCCAAGACAGCAGAGAAGCTGCCTGAGAAAGAAAGGGTGACCAAGACAGCAGAGAAGCTGCCTGAGAAAGAAAGGGTGGCCAAGACAGCAGAGAAGCTGCCTGAGAAAGAAAGGGAGGCAAAGACATTGAAAGCCAAGACAGAGAAGGTCCCTGAGAAAGAAAGGGAGGCCAAGACAGAGAAGGCCAAGACACAGAAGGTCCCTGAGAAATACAAATTTATGCCGGATACGATGGTCGACTCCAGCCCGCTAGGCTCATATTTCGTAGAAGCGCGGGGATTCCTTATTTGGAACTTATAAGTGACTCTGAGTCCTGACGAACTGACCAATCAGAGTCGCGGTTTCCAAAACACTGTGTCCCAAAACAGCAGAAGGCCACGGGTCATTTTCTTGGATATTTGATAAAAATTTTTGTTTGGACGGAGAATATTTGGACGGTGGAACTTGCAGCTTTGTGCTGACTTTCCAAGAGTTTGCATCTCCATTTTGCGGTAGGTTTATTTCTTCATTTTCGATCGTATTCTTGAAAACATGGCGGAGAGTGAGGGTACCACGGACAGACTCCTGACAGTCTTGGTCATAGGACACTCTTTTATCCGTAGTTTGGATGCGTTTGTTAAAAATTACACGGCTACGGCATGTGATCGATCAGTAAGCCGTGATTTTTGGCTGCAGAATACTGTAGTTAAATGGCTTTACCTCTCCGGCAGAAAAGTGGCGAACTTCGGACGAATTTGCGCCAATATCCCGCAGGCGGACCTAGTTTTGTTAGAACTAGGATGAAATGATCTATAACTTTTTCCCGCCTACTTTGCTAGGGACGGTCCACAGCTGTTCCCACACGGGAACCTGTTATACTACGAAAGTGTAAGGGGGCCATCACAACAGCTTTAAAAACATGTAAATACTGCAACCGCTGATTCAGTGGCGAGACGCCCAGATATAAACTGCATCAACAGTAAATTATGATTGACGATCCCCATATAGGAAAACCCTGACTCGAACTCTCTACATTACAGATTTGTGAATCAGACTTTTCCAATCGTTTCCATTCTTGACTGGGTTTGCTACATTTTCGCCTAAGCGGGCTCGTTTGGCGGGTTCTTTATCAAGATAGCTAGCGGGTTCTTTATCGCGATAGCTCTCTTTGGTGGTGGGAAAAATCCTGACTAACATTACGGTAGAAAGTGTACAATCTATGGAAAAGTTGTAAGATTGACATACTATTTTTACACTGAAAATCTGTTTATTAAATGTGTGTTTCGGTTGTCATGGTAACCATCATGTCTCAACGAGCATTGTGAATCGTACACAATTTCTTATAGTTGTCTATCAATTTGTATTGAGACCATGTCAGTATTAAAATACCTTATATTCCTGCCAAACGAATGAACTGTGTCGGCTATTGTTTATTCCCATTCTTTGTTAAGGTGTCGGCTAGAGAGGAAGGCATAAATTACTTTCCGTGAAACGAAAAGAAAGGGACGCCAAGACAGAGACGGCCAAGACAGAGAAGGTCCCTGAGAAAGAAAGGGAGGCCAAGACAGAGACGGCCAAGATAGAGAAGGTCCCTGAAAAAGAAAGAGAGGCCAAGACAGAGAAGGTCGCTGATGAGAAAGAAAGGGACGCCAAGACAGAGACGGCCAAGACAGAGAAGGTCCCTGAGAAAGAAAGGGACGCCAAGACAGAGAAGGCCAAGACAGAAAAGGCCAAGACAGAGAAGATCCCTGAAAAAGAAAGAGGGAAAGACCAGTACTGCACATAGAAAGTGTTCAGCACCAGTGACAGACCTGTTTGACGACCTATAGAAAATGCTTAGCTTTATGGATAAGTGTGTTCACCAAGTAGATATATTTTATATCAGTGCCAGAGATAGGTCTAACCTTGGATTAATGTAATTTGCTTGCACTTATTGAGCAAATACTCATACATTATCGGTGGCATATCTCATGACAGCTGAGTTTATTTCAGGCCAATAAAAATATGGCCTTATAAAAATGACACCACCATCACAGTTCAATGACTTGCTAATTTTAATTAATCTCCTCCAATTGAAAGCACACTTTTCAAACTTGTAGGCTACTCCTGGCCTTAAAGCATTTTCATTGATCATAAATTTCAATAAGATATAAAAATAAAATCTCTGAAACGACCAAACATAAACAATAGCTCAATAACAAAACATAACAATAAAGTGTCATCAAATTGACAATTCGTTCAGAGCAACCTTAATTCAAGTATATACTGACCTATAGAACATATTACACAGTTCAGTAAAACTGTACAAAATGACTTCCAATTAAGTTGTCTGTACATTTACAGACAACCAACAAAATGCAATGCTTTAAGATTTTTTTTGTCTGAGAAAAACAAAATTATCTTACCAAATAGCACCATTTAAAATAAAATAAAGTCATAACCGACTAAGATATGTCAATTTTACCTTCATAAGAACATATCTCTAAACTTCAAAATGGAGTGGATGTTTTCCACATATAAAGGAGTAGGTGATGACAACATGCTTTCATATAGTCATATACAGATAGTTTACATAAAAGGGCCAAACATATCCCTGACATTCTTTTGTGACATTGTGGCATAGAAGAGTTCACATTTCTTTGTACCATACCATTTCTGAAAAAGTCACAAAGTTACATTTGGTATTATATATCAGATCCTCACAACATATTTCACAGTAATCCTACACCATACAACAAAAGTTCTGAATTCAATTGTGGCTATTTGGTATGGTCATATTTCTTATGACCATATCTTGACATGCTTACAACTATTCATACCATTTGCAATGCCAATAGTAATCCTTGTTCCCTTCAACTGAAGATGTCTTCAATATTGCATTTACTTTTCAACAGAAATAACTTAAAATGCACAACGAAAATGCATGAGAAGACAACTTGTGTGAAAACATACTTTAGATCTTATAATCCAATCTTTACCTATTGACAAAGTGACTGGATAGATTATCACAAATACACAATACATTTACATCAAATTCTGTCTACTCACCATTTTTGAGACATTACAGCTGGGTAGTTTTGCATACAAGTAAAACAACATCATTTTGTTGTAAAAGTCTGTATGTATAAACTACGTGCACATGACAGATGCCAGTCATACCTGGAAATGTCTCTTATTAATATAATATGTATACAGTGCACATTCAACATCTTTAATAAACATGAACATTACACATTTGGTCACTTTAGACATTCATAATGCAATAGCTATAATTTTTCCACCAGAATGTCATAAAATGTATTATCAGTAAATACATGCATGCAACAACATATCTTTTTGCCTATATGTTCACACTTCTTTTAGCAATGCATTGTTGTGTGCAGTTTCTATCTACATCTACATCATCTATGCACCTTTTGTACAACATACATTCCTAATAAATCACTTATATTATAACTAAACATTTCCTTTCTTCACAAGAACTTGATAATATATAATATTCAATTGCACATTTTGAATAGTTCAATATACTTTACACTCAAACTGGCTAAGTTGCTGTCTTATGGTGGATGGAGAATGTTTGGTAGCCCAGTGCATTCTGGGAGGACAACACAGTGCATTCTGGGAGGGTAGCACAGTGCATTCTGGGAGGGTAACATAGTGCTTTCTAGCAAATGTCTTTTCTTAATTTCCAAGCAGATGTAGGGTCAGGCTTTGTTTTAAGGCATTTTCTATGTCTTTTCTGTGTTTTTAATCCATTTAAACAGAGAAATAGGTTGACCACATGAAAGGCATAGAAACTGCCTCCCAAATACTTAAAAAACACTGAGCTGACCCCTATACTACAATGTAAAGGATCTTTTCCTTGAGTGCACCTACCTAGAGCTGGTCCATACATTAGCTAGCATGGCTACAACATGCTTGGTCCATTGGTCAGGCCCCTAGAAGCTTGATGGCCAACACCTCTAAATCATGGGAACATCTTAATCCTGTTGATTTAGGCTACAGCAAGTAATTTTTATGGATGACATCAGCGCGTATATTAATTTTCGCCTGATTTAAAAAAAAAAAAAACAACAAGAAAGTTTGTTGCCTTCTGAAAGTGGTCAACATGCCCAAAATGGAACGTCTGTTGCCATGCTGGAGAGTCAAAATTCTAAAATGTAGCAACCTTGTTTTATTTGGCCCGCCTTGTTTTTTTTTTTTTCCCACTTGCATTAATTTGGACTCTGCGAAGGATGTCATCCATAAAATTTACTTGCTGTGGCCTTAGGTATGAATCAGGTAAGACTAAGAACTGTTACCACAGTGATAGAGGCTTTGGTGACTGGTTTCCATAGTGACAGAGAATCCTGAGAGCTGATTGGACTAATTTTCACAGTGACAGAAAATCCTGAACTTCTATTGGTTAGTTATGGGAATGGTTCTCTTGTGTTAGAGGTAGTGATGCATACCTAAACTTAATTTTAGGTTCAGGTACAGGTTCAAGTCCAGAGGTTCAGGTTCAGTTCCTGACTAAAATGTAAGTCTGGACCTAAACCCATGGCATATACAAAATTGCATGTTGGCAACCTTGCAATGTTGTCTGGGTGAAACTTTGGCCACATAACATGGAGGCCAGTACTTGACGACGCCCGATGGCAATGTTTTCTTCATTTTGCAACCTACGGAAGTTTTGAGGTGGTTTGAAAAGAAATGGGGTATGTGAAATATGGTCTTTTATGGTAAAGTACAGACTCGGTTCTGGACTTTTAGTTTTTTTTTTGGACTTGAACCTAAACATTCTTACAAGTATGGATCCAAGTCCAGTGAACCAGTATGCATCACTAGTTAGAGGTGTATGACCACAAGTTTTTAGGAGGCCCCTTACTGCTAGAGATTGCATAACACGGGCTAGTCCACTAGCCATCTAGGGGTGGACCCAGGTACACCATACACACCTCGGTGTTGCCATAAACAGCGGAGACAGCAGGGAACAGTTTGACGGACGGCAGCCCGCGGAAGGCCACGCCCAGAAACTCGTAGCCGCGCTCGAAGGACAGCGTGTTGTCATCCATGTCCAGTATAACACGGATCCTTTCCCCTACCTAGAGAATGAATGAGAATGAAACCAGTGTAAAAACACAATACATATAATTATTGATAGATACCTTCAGCTTCAGCAGAATGAGTGTGTAATAAGATAAGGGCCAGCATACCCTTTTTTGTACGGCGTACATCCGCGGATCCAGGATTTTGTGAACGGGGGGGCGCGACCACCTGACGTGGCCGAAGGCCACGTAAGCGCGGCGCGTCAGCGG